TCCCATATAAAGTGGAGGAAGATGGGCACAGATGTTAGCCCAGGGCCAGTCTTCCTCAGCAAAAAGAGGAGGATTGGCAGATGTTAGCTCAGGGCCGATCCTCCTAAAAAAAAAAAAAAAAAAGCCTACACCTGAATAAACCATCACAGTAAAAATAACTCATTGATATCCAAGAAACAGAGCTTCCCTCCTCCCGTCTACTTAAGACCATGGGCCCTGGGGTCAGAGAACCCTGGGAACCTGGCTCTGAGCTGCACTTCGCCTGACTGGGTTAGCTTAACAGTGTGAGCACCCAACCTTTTAAGCACACAGTCATGCCTCACTTCAGTATTTCCATTAGGGGGAATGAGGAATGTCTTAACAATCGAGAGATTCCCAAGTATAAGATTTTTTTTCTATAAAGTTTTAAAAACATTGGCTACGAGACAGGCACAAAACAAGGAGCAGTTTCCCAGGCTTCTCTCCGCACCCACGTTTAGGCTGAGGATACGAGATGGTCTAGTTTCGGTGGAGCTCTGGCTGCAGATCACGGGTTACAGTTGACGACAAAGCCAGCCAGGAGCAGAACGAGGGGGAGGGGAGGGCGAGGGGGACACAGACCTCACTCCCAGGCACGTGAATATTCGTGGAGTGAGGGGACGGTAGCAAACCCCACTCTGTGGGCTGGCATCATCCCTCCCCATTAAGACAATTGGGCTTCAGGCGGGTCCACAGTGCCAGTCAGGAGCCTGCACAGATCAAACCTAGAATCGTTTCTACAAGGAAACATGCCAACGTGTGTGCAGACAAGGGCCTGGATGAACCAGAACGCCTGCCAGTCTTATTGAAACGAGAAAGGTGGAACTGTAGAAATATTTCTCCGTTGTTCTGAAACAGCATGAACATCAGGGGACACAGGCTTTTCATGAACTACCCGGTGTGATTCCACAGCAATCCAGGAGGGGGCAGCAGGGAGCGGGAAGAAGGAAGGGACAGAGAGGCCCTGGGAGTTATTCCAGCGTAGGAGCTGGCTCCTCCTTTACTCCACGAACGAGCCCAAACCCTCCCATCAGATGGCACTGGCACAACCAGGTATCCACCCAGACAAGATCACTTTGAGACAGATCACAGACCTGCACGTAAAACGTCAGCAATAAAAACAGAACATTTCAAAGGCAGCGGAGAGAGGGGAGGAGGCAGATTCACAGCTGGGGAAGGCTTGGTGCCCAGGCTCTGGATTCTGACAGCTGACAACCAAACACAAACCTGGATCCCCTCCCCGGTAAACGGGACTAACAAACGTGGTCAGAAGAAACAAGCCCCACGAAGCTCAGCAGGGTCCGTGCTCAGCGAACACTGGCTGTTGCTGGCATTTTGCTGTAAAGCACGGTACAGAAGGTGACCTGCCAGCCTGCTCAACGCGGCAGAGCGAGCCAGTGTGACACCTAGAACAACATCCACAACGTGGCCCTACCTTTCAAAGAATGACACTGATTTTCCTAAGAATGAGAGAATAAGGGAAATTCATACGAAACAAGAGTAGGGTTAACTGCACTTCTTTTGCAACAATACTTATCTGTAAATGGGCCATTTTCAGCTGATTTTGCTACCCCAGTTTGCTTTTTTGCATTCCTCAATCAGCCAGGCTAATTAGCCGGAACTCTCAGCATCAGTCAAATGAGCCCATCTTCACAATTCCTAAGCTGTATATTAGCCAAAAATGTTTCACCTAAATCCAATACACCTTTATATCTAACATCCGGTTTTAAGTCAGTAGAGGGATGACAGGCCCAGGTTCAATGATGGAAACAGAAAACCCAGGATGTGGGACACGCTGCAGGTTGGAGAACTGAGCAGGTCTCTTTATTAAGTCTGGTGTCATGAAAAGACGCTTTAAAAGCTAGGTTAAAAGAGATTCAGGGATATATCAACCAAATGCTATGTATGGTCCTAGACTGGATCCTGATTCGGACAATTCTGGGGACGTGTAGAGGACAGCTGGAGAAACGAGAGTGGGGTGTAAGATGAAAATGGGATAAACATTTACTGACACGAAAGAGTAGCTAGTATTTAAAAAATGTTACAAATAGCAAATCAGCACAGCTCACTGGTAAAAGTGCGCACGCACACACACACACGGAAATATCTGGAAGGATAAATAAGAATGAATTACCAGTCCTAATTTTTGGAAGGTCAGTATACAAGGGTTTTTTTGTTTGTTTATCTATATTTTTTCTAAGATGTACATATGTTGCTTTTGTAATAATAACAGATTATTTTCAATTTAAAAAAGACTTGATTCTAAAACAAGGCATAATGAGGTAAAAATTCATGGGGGAAAACAGCAGGTATGACCAACAGAACTGGGTCTTCCTGCTGCTGCTGTTCACTGTCTTCTAGCCACGGTATTAAATGTGGGACGCGAGCGCACACACGCGCGCGCACACACACACACTCTGCGGTGAGGCTCAGGGAAAAGAGGAAACATTTTTAAACCAGCGTGGTCAGTTCTGTCCACTGTCCTCCTCAAAGCACACATGCCCCCTGCTGAGATTCTCCACGTGAGGTCCACAAATTCCTAGAAGATCTGTGGACCCAAGGTCAGCACTGGAAGTTTGTGCCAGAACAGCCAGGAATCCACCCGAAGGAGGTCATGAACCACTGCTCTAAAATGTTAGCTGTGTTGCTTCTTAATAGTGGGTTCTTGAAAATGCTCTTTCAATTCCAAAAGATCTGAGAGTAAAAGGATGAGTAAGGTGAGACCCTCTGCTCCTGGGTTAAGTTATCACTTTCCCCAGCTCCTAGTGGCAGCGGGAGGGCAGAATATACAAGACCTCCAATTCAGGATAGTAAGTTTCTCAACGGCCCGTGGAGCCCCACACACTGCTGTCAGTGGGACACACAGAGTAACAGGACTTCGGGTCCCCATCCCAAAATACACCGGGACTTTTCCTTGCCTAATCCAGTGCTTAGCGCTCCTGCGAGAAGCACGTGATCTAGAGCCCTGAACTGATGGGATACCCGAAAGGGGCAGCAAGATGCCAGACATTTGGGAAAGGATGTGGAAGGAATACACAAATTCAGGGGGGAGTGAGGGAAAGGACTCGTGCTTATCTTTGGAAGTTTCAGTTCAGAGGATTAATTTCTTTCTTTTTTTTAATTTTTATTTATTTATTTTTTTCCCCCAAAGCCCCAGTAGACAGTTGTATGTCATAGTTGCACATCCTTCTAGTTGCTGTATGTGGGACACGGCCTCAGCATGGCCGGAGAAGCAGTGCGTCGGTGCGCGCCCAGGATCCGAACCCGGGCCACCAGTAGCAGAGCGCGTGCACTTAACCTCTAAGCTACAGGGCCGGCCCTCAGAGGATTAATTTCTGAGCAGCAGGCTGCAACCTCTAAAATGCTAGGAATTCAATAAATAAACTACTCATGTCAACGAGGGCCGTATGTCTCTTATTAAAAATGGATTCCATGGGACTTTAATCAATAGACTGGGAAGTCTGGACCGCTGTCTGTAACGAACAGTTGTTTTACTAAAAGCAGCCCTGCTCAGACCCCCAGCAACATAAAATCTCTTAAAGCAGAGCCCATTATGCTCCAGAAAGTCACGGGGGCCTGAAGCTCCACCCACCCACAAATCAGGTTCAAGGACCAACCCCTTTCTTAGAGGCAAGTCTTTGCATCTTAGCTCCAGCTGCAAGACGGCCCCTCTCCGGGCAGGATGGGTTGGGCGGCATGCCTGGAAAGGGCAGGCTGTGTGTGTCACAAGGCGGGCCCCGTTTCTACAGAGCCTGGGTTTGGGGAGGGTTACGCCAGGGCGGGAGCTCAGCATTCGACAGAGCAGCCACCCACATGCTGCAAATGCAGAAGTGTTTTCACAAGTCAGCAGGTCGCACTCATCGGGATACGCATTTGCTCTGACGCTCCTTGAAGCTGAGTGGGTCTTGTAGGGTGTTGTGCACATTCCTATGTGCACTTCCTTTACTGTGATGACTGGGAACTAGCTTCCCTTCCACTCGATTTCCCAGCTGTATGGGGTCCTAGTGAACAGGAAATACTGCAGTTGTCATGTTCTTAAAACACTGAGGAAGTTGGGTGAGAAACAGAGGTGAGCATCTTCAAATGCCTGGCAAGAACGGCGGGCAGGCAGGAGAGATAAAGAGGGTATTTTGCAAAACACAAAATAAATAACATAAAACAAAACAGAGTTTATCCCTGCTACATTGGAAAAGAGGCATGACATTATTACAAAATTCAAGGGTGTCTGTTGAATGGTGGGTATGAGAGAAGTCTAACTTTGATTGTCTAAACTGAGCACTGAAAACACTGAGTATTAGGTTAAGAGAACACAACAAAAGCATTCAAAACGCCAGATAGTAGGAGTTGGGTCAGCTATTCGGGATCTCCTGATTGTTTGGAGTTGACGTATAACTTAGCCCCTCTCCTGGGTTCACCTGGATGCTGACCAGGTGGGAAAATCAACCAGGAAGGAGCTAAGGGACGTGGCCGCAGTCCAGAGCTGGCCCGGTTGTTCTTCCAGCCCCAACACAAAGAAGCTCAAGGGACCCTCACAGGCACTGGGCAAACAACCAAACGGCCGCGACGGTCGCTGGACCCCTGTTCCTTACGTTTCCCCAGAAGGCCTAACATGAAGACTTTTCCAGAGTCTCTGCTACAACTTACGCTGCTTCCTTAGCACTTACGTGGAGCTCCAGAGACCTGAGGGGAAATTTCTCTGGTGACATTTCCGATATCCAAGACGCATACATACCTCATCTCCATGCATATTGGCCACGTATTTGAACTCCGGAATCCCAATTCTGTGCTCCTTCGGGAAGCGCCCCACAACAAGAACCCACAGGTTTCTGCCTTCACAGGGAATAAAAAGATAGAAAAATAAGTTGTCTTTTAAAATGACAAGAGAACTCTGGGAGAACGAGAACAGGAAACAAACGATGCAGCCTCTCCTCCCCAGGAACGTTTCACGAGGACTGAAGTTCGTACGACTGACACCTCTGCGCTTAAAATGCTCTTAGTTCACTGCCAGCCAAAACCCTTTGAATTTAGCACAGTTAACTTATTTTAGAATGTGATTTTTAAAAATTGAAGACTTACTAGGCTAGGCAGATCTTACTTTTCCAAAATGTTTATATACTTTGCTCTGAGTTCCCAGTGCTTTATAGAAACAATCTTGCTAATTCACACAATTACACAAACTTAAATTCTAGTTGCTGGTTGACTGAGAGGGTGCCAGAACTCTCACTGCAAGGAAAGTGAAAAAAGAACAGCAATAAAACATGTGAGTCAGAAGGGAGACTGTTCTTAAAGGGAGAAATCCCGAATCTTGTACTGACGTAACACGGCTCCTTTGCAGTGGGTGTCCCTGACTTGTGTGAGTCCTGTCAGGGACACCCTAATAACGCCTCAGGGAAAACTTCCGAGTCCTACCTCTGCCATAGATGCTGTGACCTCGGCGAGAAAGGGCAGAGACTACAGATCACTGAGGATTTGCTCTGTGCAGACATTGCAGCTGGCTGGGTCACCCTTGCCACGACCCTCTGAGATGGATGGACTTTTAACCAAACTTTACAAACGAGAAAATTGATCTCCAAAAAATATTAAGCAAACTGCTTATGATCCCACAGCCAGTAGGAGGCTGTGATTTCAGCCCCAGGGTCAAGACCTGAGTCCTGGCCTCTTGGACTTCAATTCTGGTGCTCCTTCCACCAACGAAAACTGCCCGTTTCTCAAGAGGCTTGGTTTCCTAATCAGTAAAAGGAAGAGGTCCCTTTCAATTCTAAAATCATCTGGCCCTTTAAATACTCTTTAAAATTAGAGATTGGGGATGTGTGTTTCTAACAGCAGCTAATCGAGCAGGTTTCTGCAGAATCTCAGATCTAGTTCCTTAAATCAGGGGTCCCACAGGCTGGGGACCACTCAGTTGCCATGAGGAATCCAGGAGAAGCAGATACGGGACTTGCCTTTTCACCATTTATTCTTAATTTATTATAACAATATTTTAGGGAAATTCATTATGACAGGGTGATGCTTTAAATTTAGTAACTGCAGGAATTCTCCAAAACCACCCCCAAAATGCAGTTAATCTGACCAATGCCACCTGTTCAGTGCAGAATCCTCATTCATTCATTCACCCATCCATTCATTGCGTACTACTGAATCCAGGCATTTAACCAGTAATGAGACTGGACAGGTAAGTCACACTCTCTGGGCCCAGTGAGGTTCTGATCTAGTGGAGAATAGCAACATGCAAACATATCATTACACTAGACTGTGACATGTACGATCATAGACGTGTGTATAAGGTAGCACTGTGGATATGGAATAAAAGAAGAAATGGTTAACAATTTCCAAGGAGGGGGATCATGTAAAGCTTTGCAGATGTAGGGTCTTATAGCTGACTTGTGAACAAGGTTCTGAAGAATGATTCCGAGTTTGCCACGTGGACAGTACAATCCATCCTGTGATTTCCCACCAGAACCATTTCATTAACCAGAACCTTCCATTCCCCAACAGTCCCAGTTCTCAGATCATCTGGAGCTTCAATTCTACAAAGTCAACATTTTCGTGTGAAGCAAGGAAGAGCTTTTTCTGAGCGAGCTGTTGAACTGGCTCTTGAGCTTCCTTCTGGGGGATTCTTTTCTGTAGCTATTAATGCTTTTAAAGCTAGAATAATCACAGATTTGCACAGAATATGGTGTAGTCCCCTCACAGGCAAGGGAAAAAATTCAATGTCATCTCAACATAATCTTTACCAATTGTTATACTTAAAACCCTGTGCCTGCCACAGCTGGTGTTACACAAAGCACAGTGTGACACAACGAGAACCTGACTCACCACGGATACCCAACACGATTTAGTTTAAGGAAGGAGGGAAATCAAACCAACAAACCCTGAGTGAAGAAGTACTTTGGTGGGTAACTCAACCTCATTTTTGGCACGAATGGCCCCTAAGTGAACTCCAAGATGAGACAGTCACCTTGAATAAGCCAAATGGCACAAAGTCTAAGAATGAGAAACAACCCATGAACCTAGAAGATGCTCACGCAATACTTCTGGAACGACAAGCCTCTTGAAGGGTTTTAACCACTCTCTCCAACAACCGCAGGCTATCTCTGGCTTAGACCAGAGCACATGCACAAAGGGAAAGGTATTTACTTTTCACAGCCCGCCTGCCAAGGTAAGGGTAATTGAAACAAGATTTTTGTTTTTCTATCAAGGTTAGAAAGGTTACCTTTATTCCCAGAAGTTCTTGGGAACACCAGGTGTGCTAAAGAGTTCTGAAATGCTCAGCCTCTTTCTCTTCACTACCAAGTAAATGAAACTTGGATTCCAAATACTTCAGTATCTATGTTCAGGAACTCACTTGGGGCTTGACACAAGTCCCAGTGGTGTGACGTGGGTGCCCATGTGGGTTTGCAGCGAGGATCAAGAAAAGCTTTACAATTCAGAAGGATTCACAAAGATCCACAAGATGAGAAAGCACTAGAGGAGTTCAGGAGAATAGAAGCTTGGAGAATTAGGTATGGCTTCACCGGTAGAAACGGGAGGAGTGGCATTCCCACATCAGAGTCACCTGGACCCTTGTAAAAACGCCAGTCCCCCGAGCCCGGCTCCTAAGTCACACTCCAGGGGTGAACCTGAAACCCGCATCTACAGGCTTCCTGGCCGCTTCTGAGGCCCATTCAAGTTTGAAAGCTGCTGAGCCTGAGGCACTGACGGCCCAGACAGAGATGGGGGGCACTCGATCTTTAGGTAAAATCGTCTCATTTTACATATAATCATGAACATGTAGTAGAAGTATATTTGTTAATATAGAAACATCTTTTTAAACGGCTGCTTAATATCTTGTTATATGAATGCACTACCATTTATTCAACCAAGGCTCTATTGTTAGGCATCCAACAATAATTTTATGTAAATTACAGCATGTCTGCTAAAATTATGTACAGAATTTAAGGTAAAAAATATTTTATCATGTGAAAGAATGCAAAATTATATAACTACAACCACACAAAACAGACCAGGGACGGAAATAGCTCCATAGCATATAAAGCTTTCAATTAAATAACAGACAAGTCCCTACAAGAACTGAAAACAGCGCAGTCAGTGGTAAGGGGCTAGGTGTTAGGGTGATAGAACCAAGTCATTTTTTTTCACTTTTCCATCTTTCCAGTTTTTTTAAGTAAAATACCAAGCCCATCATTCATCAAGTGCAGACGCTGTGGGCCAGGCGTGACACTAAGCATTGTCACTATCTTCACAAGCCCTCTGTGTGGTGGGCGACAGCCACGATCTATTGTGGAGGGAACTGACTTTAGTGGCAGAACCACGCTGAACCCCAGGTCTGTCTGCGTCCACACTCTGTGCTCCCCTGAGGACTCCAGCCGCCTCAGTCTCCCGGAAGGGACAGACAGGCCGGAGCACCCCCGCGCTGGGGTGAGGTTCCCAGGCCGTACTTTCAGCACCGTGTTGCTGGTCTGCACCTGGAGCAGGACCCAGGCTGCTACCTGGCTGTGACGGCTAAGCCAGGGCCAGACACCTGAGAGCCACCCTATGGGAACAAGCCATACTGAGCGTTGTTGTAACAACCCTGTCAGACTGTCTCTACTCTGAGAGCTTCAGGAGGACACGCCCAGAGACAAGCGGAGACCTGGCTGGGGGGCCCGGTCCCGGGAGCAGAGCTGCAGTGACGACGGGCACGTTCCAGTTTTTCACGAGGCTTGTTGCATGTGTGGTCTGATCCACGAGGTGCTGGTGCCCAGAGTGACGGAGCAGCTGCTGGTTTCCCAGGCTTGCACATCTCTCTGTGTATCCTTACAACTACCCTTTGACCTAAGTCAAAGCGTGAGCGAGCTTGCCCGCTTCGCGGAGTTGCAGCATCCTCAGACGTAAGCAGGAAGAGTAGCTCTGCTGGCAGGGCTGTTGTAAGGCCGGCGAGCTCCTCCCGCCTTTCCTGAGAAGCAGCCAAAGATCTGACAGCAAACCTTCAGCTTCGCCCACGCACGCTCCCACTACCACACACAGAGAGCTCATCACACGAGGCCCCGCACGAACCCTGGAGACCCGGAGGAGCTGAAACGAGCACACCACCTGAGTCACGTGAAACACTCAGCCTCCAGGGTCACGCGTCCTCTGGCTCTGAAGTGGAGGCAGAGGTTCCTGCTAAGCGGCTCATTACAAAAACGCCACACACAAACAAGAGCACGCAAAACAGGGAGAAAAAGCAGGGGCAAAGGTTCCAGGTTGGCTATGCCTGCACCGCAGACTCACTCAGCCCGAAGCACTGGACGTATCTTCACCTAACCCTGACCACTGTCCTCTCACACAGGTGGACACGACCTGCAGTGACCTCACGAGGCAGCGGTTCTGCAAGTGTGGTCCCAGGACCAGCATCAGCAGCGTCACCTGAACCCGTTAGAAACGCACACTCTCGGGCTCCACCCTTCCGCCCCGAGTCAGAAACTCTGGGGTGAGGACGGGCAGGATGTTTCAACGTGCTCTCCAGCGGACGCTCACACCCACTGAAGCATAGGAACCAGGCACCAGGGACGGAGCGGGGTCGTCCACCCACTGGGCCTGCTCTGTGCTCCACCTCCACGCTGCACTGCTCTCGTCACCTAAGAGATGGAAACTATCAAAGAAAAGTCAAAGAAACGTGAACCTGGGCCCCAAGCTTGCTGTGTACCATCTCTGGTATGGAGATTTCTTTCTTTCCCCCTCTGCAGACTTGGAAACGGCAGGAGGAGGTTAACAGGACACTCTGAGGATGGTCTGGGAAGTTAAAGCTGTTGTTTGCTCCCTCTGGTCTGCAAACCCAAAGCTGGTTTGCTAACTGGTACAGTCTGTCC